GACAAGGTCTTGCCAAGTTGCCCAGGCTGGTCTTGAACCCCTGAACTCAGGCAATCCTCTCGCTTCCACCTTCCAAAGTGCTGGGTGAACCACCATGTCTGGCCTGCTTTTTTCTTTTTTTTCTTTTTTTTCGAGTTGGAGTCTCACTCAGTCGCCCAGACTAGAGTGCAGTGGCCGCTCCCGGCCACCGCAGCCTCGACCTTCTGGGCTCTGGTGATCCTTCCACCTCAGCCTTCCAAGTAGCTGGAACTACAGGCGTGTGCTACCACGCCTGGTTAATTTTTTTGATTTATTGTGGAGATGAGGTCTCACCAAGTTGCCCAGGTGGGTCTTGAATCCGCGGGCTCAGGAAATTCACTTACCTCGGCCTCCCAAAGTGCGGGATTACAGGCTGAGCCACCGAGCCTCCCTTGCTTTTTTTCTAAATAGCTCCATGTACGTTCTTTTTCCTTTAAAAGTTTCCCCTTGCCTCTATCTCCCCAGATCTGCCCATGATCCATCATGACATGCATATCCTGGATTACAATCCCTGTCATTCATTGCCAAATAAACTCTTTTCCTTGGAGAGCCTCTGTTGTTATTGTAGGTTGACCAATGAATACAACATGATGGCAGTATCATTAGGGATGAGGATCTTGAAAGTCAGTTTTCTAGGTCAACAGCTACAGCATTCCAGAAAATTAAACAGCTTCTAGAAATACTCAAGGACCTTTATTTTTCCTTTTCCAAAGTAGGGCTTCCCTTCTGTTTTATACTTTCTATTGTTCACTTTTAAAACTATGTTAATGACAAAGAACAGAGTACCATATGTTCTTACTCATAAGCGGAACTTAAACAATTATAATACTATAAGAAAGCATTTGGCAGTAATGGGAAACTGTCAGGGGAGGGGGGGGGATTGGCAGCCGAGGGAAACTGCTAGGGGAGGGAGGAGCATACCTCATCAACAAGGGTACCTGCATAATCAACGTTTGTATACCTAACCCTGAATTGTACCCTGCATCTTTATAATAAAAAAGAACTATGTTAATGAATTATAATACTAACAAAAACATAAAAGATAGGAAATATTAGAATCTATGAAAATATAAAAACTCATGAAATCTGAGTTCTTCTTATACTCCAGGAATTCTTTCTTTCAACAGCTTATAGCAGCAAGCCTTTTTCAATTGGTGCACTGAAGACTCTAGATGTGATTTCTATCAGCTGTGGTCAAGAGCACACTGCAGTGCTTACCCAGGTAATTAAAAACGTGTGGCTATTTTTTTAAGTTCCAGAGAAATGTGAACAGGGTATATGTACTAACTACTATTGAAAACAAGAGCATCTTAATCCATTCGGGCCACTATAACAAGATACCATGTACTGAGTTGCTCATAACCAATAGAAATTTATTTCGTAGCCAGGTGTGGTGGCTCATGCCTATAATCCCAGCACTTTTGAGAGGATAAGATGGGAGGATTGCTTGAGGCCAAGAGCTTGAGACCAGCCTGGACAACATAGTAAGACCTCATCTCTACAAAAACATTTAAAAACAAACAAACAAAAAACTAAGCAGTGAGGTGGCATATACCTGTTGTCCCAGCTGCTGGGGAGGCTGAGGTGGAAGGATCACTCGAGCCCAGGAGTTTGAGGCTACATTGAGCCATGATTGTGCCATTGCATTCCAGCCTGGGCAACAGAGTAAGACTCTGACTCACAAAAAGAAAGAAAGAAAGGGAGGGAGGAAAGAAGGAAGAAAGAAAGATAAAGAAGAAAAAGAAAAGAAAAGAGAGAAAAAAAAAAAAAAGATTTCTCATGGTTCTGGAGGCTGGGAAATTCAAGATCAAGGTGCCAGCAGATTTGGTATCTTGTAAGGACCAGTTTTCTGGTTCATAGATGACCATATTTTCGTTGTGTCTTCACATGGTGGAAAGGGCCAGGGGTCCCTCTAGGGCCTCTTTGTAAGGGCACTAATCCCATTCATGAGGGTTCCTTCCTCATGATCTAATCATCTTTCGAGGCCTCACCTCCTAATACTATCACATTGAGTTTAGGATTTCAGTGTATGAATTTGGGAGGAGTGTAAACATGCAGACTATAGTGTCAGATGATATTGATGTCTAGACATATTCATTCAGTGTACAAATATCTAAAGAGGAGAACCAAGCAGAAATTATGAGATTTTTTTAGAGCCTATAATAGAAGCTAATTTCAGCATTAGGAAATATTTTTAGATAACTATTAAATTAGATCAATATAGAAGCAAATCCCTTTAGCAGTTACTTGTTGACAATGTAATTCTACAGATAAAAAATATCATAGAAGCAATAAAGTATTTTTACAATTTTCAATTACCCACTTTACAGACTGGAACATACTTTCCTCCATTTCTTGTTTGGCACAGTTATGACCCAGGTTCCAGAATGTTTTCCCTCCCTGCTTGTCCTGGATTACTTCTATAGACCTAAGGAATAGGCTTGAAAACTATTTGTGTGGTTGAAATGTTTGCTTAAAAATTATAGACCGAGCGCGGTCACTCATGCCTAAAATTCCAGCACTTTGGGAGGCCAAGGTGGGAGGATGACTTGAGGCCAGGAGTTTGAGACCAGCCTGGGCAACATAAGAAGACCTTGACTCTACAAAAAATAAAATTAGCTGGGCACGGTGGCGCACACACATAGCCCCAGCTACTCAAGAGGCTGAGGTGGAAGTAACACCTCAGCTCAGGAGGTCGAGACTGCGATGAACCATGATTGCGCCACTGCACTACAGCCTGGGTGACAAAGTGAGACCCCGACTCAAAAAAAAAGTTCTATACCCCACATTATTTTTATTGTTTGTTTTAGATGCATGTCCTAAATTAGAAAACCCTCAATTGTTTGGAATATATTATTCTTAGTTGGAAGGAGAAAGCTGGTTGTTTATAATCATAGAATCATTTTTTGGAAGAGTATTTTTGGAAATATGTTCAAATAAATAAAGCAAACATATACTTAAATGTTGGTATTACTCTTGCTTGAACCAATTCATTCATTCATTCAGCAAATACTTAAGTGCTTGGTTCTTTTTTCCTCTGCTTTATTGCAGTATAATTGACAAATACAAATTATATATGTCTTTGGGGGTACAATGTGATATTCTGAAATATGTATGCATTGTGAAATGAATACCACAATCAAGCTAATTAACATATGCCTCACCTTACATAGTTATCTTTTTTCTGTGGTGAGAATATTTAAGATCTACTTATTGGCAAATCTCAAATATGTAATGTATTATTATTAACTATAGTCACCATGCCATACAATACATCCTTGAGGCACCTGGTCTTTAAAGGAATGCCAGTGATTATTCATGTTTACTGTATTAATTCTAATTCAATATTAGAAATAGTAAAGGATCTCTTCTATTTATGTAGAGTCTGTATTTCACATAATGCTCTCCTATTAACTCTCTTAGAATACTTCACTTGTAAACTTTAGTTACTTTTGTTTAAACTGAAATCAGTCTGGTTCCTCTTTTCTTTAAACAGGATGGGCAGGTGTTCACATTTGGAGACAATAGATTTGGACAGCTGGGATACAGCTGCACTGCCGGGAAGAGAGGTCCACAACGTGTGGAAGGAATTGATGGCTTCGTTTCGCAAATCGATTGTGGCAGGTAATAGACTTTTTTTTTTTTTTAGCATGGGTAGAGTGCTATATTTTATTACTTAGAAGCAACTCACGTGGAATGTTATAAAATCTTAAGACCTCCTGGGTGTGATGGCTCATGTCTGTAATCCCAGCACTTTGGAAGGCCAAGGAGGGTGGATTGCCTGAGCCTAGGGGTTCGAGACCAGCCTGGGCAACATAGTGAGACTTCTTCTCTACAATAAATCAAAAGTTAGCCAGGCATAGTAGCACATGCCTGTAGTTCCAGCTACTTAGAACGCTGAGGCTGAAGGATCACCGAAGCCTAGCAGGTCGATGCTGGGATGGCCACGAGCGTGCCACTGCACTCTAGCCTGGGTGACAGAGTGAGACCCCAACTCAAAAAAAAAAAAGAAGTAAAAAGAAGTAATGCACTCAGAGAGATGATTCGTCTTGGTCATGATTATATAACAAGCAAAATCGTAGAGGCAGAATCTGAACTCAGCTCTTCCAGGGCTGAAGTTCAGGTTCTTATCACTGTACACAGAATTAGGTTAGTGCAAGTGTCCCAGCTAATGTCTTTTAAGAGTTAAGTTCAGGCCAGGCGCAGTGGCTCAAGCCTGTAATCCCCGCACTTTGGAAGGCTGAGGTGAGAGGATTTCCTGAACTTGAGGGTTCGAGACCAGCCCAGGCAACTTTGGGAGACCTCATCTCTACAAAAAGTAAAAAATTAGCCGGTCATGGTAGCGTGCACCTGTAGTTCCGGCTACTTGGAAGGCTGAGGTGGAAGGTTCGCTAGAGCCCAGGAGGTCGGTGCTGGGGAGGCCATGAGTGTGCCACTGCACTCCACCCTGAGTGACAGAGTGAGACTCCAAGTCAAAAAAGGGTGGTTTTTGTTTTGTTTTGTTTTGTTTTTTAGTTGGAGTCTCACTCTGTCACTCAGGCTGGAGTGCAGTGGCACACTCATGGTCACCACAGCTACAGGTATGTGCTACCCACCCAGCTAATTTTTTAATTTTTTTATTGTAGAGACAAGGTTTTGCCAAGTTGCCCGGGCTGGTCTCGAACCCATTTTTCAACATTATCCTAGACATTTTATTTATTTAGTAAGAAATAATGTGTGTAGACAAAAAAATGGCTTTGCTCGGTGGCTCAGCCTGTAATCCCGCGCCTTTGGGAGGCTGAGGTGAGTGGACTGCCTGAGCCCGCGGGTTTGAGACCTGCCTGGACAACTTGACGAGACCTCATCTCTACAATAAATCGAAAATCAGCCAGGCATGGTAGCGCGCGCCTGTAATTCCGGCTACTTGGAAGGCTGAGGCAGAAGGATCGCTGGAGCCCAGTGGGTCGAGGCTGTGGTGGCCGGGAGCGGCCACTGCACTCCAGTCTGGGTGACAGAATGAAACTCCAACTCAAAATAAAAATAAAAATAAAAATTAAAAAATGCACACATTTAAAATACAAATGGCCAGACATGGTGGCTCATATCTGTAATCCCAGCACTTTGGGAGGTTGAGGCTGGAGGACATCTTGGGCCCAGGAGTTCAAGACCAGCCTGGGCAACATAGGAAGATCTCATCTCTACAAAAAATAAAAAATTAACTGGGCATGGTGGTGTGTGCCTGTAGTCCCAGCTACTAGGGAGGTTAAGGCAGGAGGATTGCCTGTGCCCAGGAAGTCGACTGTGGTGAGCTATGATCATGCGACTGCTCTCCAGTCTGGGTGACAGAGTGAGACCCCAACTCAATAATAATAATAATAATAATAATACAGAAATGATAGAAACCACAGTAAAGACCCATCAATAATATTCTATTTTTTGAGTTTGTAACCAGCTAATGTTCCCTCACCCTCTGTTTAGCCACACCCTTTGCTACCCTCTAACCCTAACATTGTGATGGGAAGCTGGGTATTTATAAAGGCAAGTCTGTGATTCTGTGTTCAGGAACATCAACTTTTTCAAAAAACATGAGTACCTGGGTCTTCATTATGGTGCATTCTCTCTCTTGTAGATACCACACCCTTGCGTACGTGCACACCACCCGTCAGGTGCTGTCCTTTGGTTGTGGGCCTAGTGGCACAAGCAACCCAGCTCCTCTGGAGACCCAAATGGAGAACTCTGACATTCACTGCCTGATTTCTGCTGATGGTATGAGTAGCCCCCAATTCAAGACTGTGTACTCATTAAAGTCACTGAAGGAGAAATATTATTCAGCTTCCTTTCAAAGGAGCCCATAGACCTGTAGGTCACTTAGGACTTTCATTTTAAATTTGTACATTGTGTACTTTTTCTTATGTAACGACCCCTGGAGTATTTTGTCATCATTGCTGAGGATTAAGGTAATAACAAAAGAAGGTCCTACCTAAGCACTGGAGCAATACACTTTTATATATTCAGTCAAACCTCTTCTAAAGCACAGCTACCTTGGCTTCATTATGTAAGTGCATGAAAAATTAAAATTTAGACTAAATGAATACAATAAGTCCTCTATGTATGAACTTTCATGTTGCAAACTTTCAAAGATGTGAATGTATGTTCACATGTTCCATCACCTTAGTTAGTTCACATGTCTGGTGTCCATTGTCACGTATGTGTGTCCTCTACAAGTGGTTGTGTTTTTGTGTACTCTACAGTACAGTAATACAGTATCTTTATTGCAAGCCCAGGATGTCTAGAAGCAAGCGTAAAAGCAGTGGTGATGTAACTAGTACTGTATAGCTGATTGTGTTAGTTGGGTACCTAGGCTAACTTTGTTGGACTTACGAACAAATTGGACTTACAAAATCACTCTTGGAACAGAACTTGTTTGTGTGTAGGGGACTTACTGTATATGACATGTAATCTGATTACAATTAATCTTTTATTATAATACTGTATGTGGGAAAAAAGAAAAAGAAAAAATTAGTCTTTTCTGCTGTTTGTAGTCAAAATTCATTTAGAAGAATATACATTGCTAATAAATAAGCAAATTTGGCTTGTTAATACATCAGGTTTATTTTTTACTTCTAAAAACCCCAAGCATGGATTTATGACTTTCTTTTAGACCTCACGAATGCTCAAGTTAAACACATTTTTGCTGGAACATACGCCAACTTTGTGACAACTCATGAGGTATCTATAACACTTTCTCTTTCTTTTAAAATTTATTTTTTCCCTAGTGTTCAGAGCAGTATTTGGAAAATTGAATTATTCATATTTATTCTGGTTTCTTACTAGAACAATATGGTCTTTTATTTTCATGCCTTTGAAAAATATATGGCCAGGCGCAGTGACTCATGCCTGTAATCCCAGCACTTTAGGAGGCAGAGGTGAGAGGATTGCTTGAGCCCAGGAATTTGAGACCAGCCTGGGCGACTTGATGAGACCTCATCTCTACAATAAATCAAAATATTAGCTGGGCATGGCAGTGCATGCCTATAGTTCCAGCTACTTGGAAGGCTGAGTTGAAAGGATCGCTGGAGCCCAGCAGGTTGATCCTGGGGTGGCCGTGAGCATGCCACTGCACTGCAGCCTGGGTGACAGAATGAGACTCCAACTCAAAAGAAAAGAAAAGAAAAGAAAAATACCATGTAATTCTTACATCCTTGTTTGTCAAGCTTCCCCCAAATTAAATTTATCACTTAATAATATTAATGGTGGTAATAACAGTAATGATTAATAACAATTGCAGTCACTGTGCATTGGGCACTAATCAGAACACTTTATTTAATGCTTATATCAACTCCAGTTGTTTTCTCCCATTTTTCAGACAAAAAAGCTGCGTCTCAGAGAGAGGAATTTACTCAAAGTTGCTCTGGTAGGTGGTAGAGCTGGATTCAATCCCAGGCAGCCTAGCCCCAAAGCTTCCACCATTATCCACCATGCTATAGTGCATTCCTAATTGTTAACAGAGAGGATTTTTTTTTTTTTTTTGAGCCAAAATTTCTGTCGCCCAGGCTGGAGTGCAGTGGCACAGTCATGACTCATATGGCCCAGGCGAGCCTTCCACCTCAGCCTCCCAGGTAGCTGGGACCACAGGGGTGCACCATGACACACATCTAATTTTTGTGTGTGTGTGTAAAGACGAGGCCTTGCTACGTTCCCCAGGCTGATCTTGAACTCCTGGGCTCAAGCAATGCCTCCCAAAACACTGGGATGACAGGTGTGAGCCACAGCACCTGGCCAAGAGAGGATTTTATTACTGTATTTCTGGGTGAGTTCTGAAGTGTTTTTATGGAAACAAAAACATACTTAGTGATTTTCTTAATTTTTCCTTTTTTTCTAATATCAAGAATGTTTGAACTTGACATGCATATAAACTCTTTCTATTTCCCTGATACACATAATGGTCTCTGTGCCGCTGTGGATAGTTAAGGGATTACCCTTTGGTTTCTTTGTCATAACTATTCCATAAACCAGTTGACAAAACTTGGGTGCCTTTTATGTCTTAGGCCTGCTCTTGGTGCTTGGGACAAATGTGATAATACAGACAAGGTCGCCCTGTTCAGAGCATTTGGACTTCACAGGAAAGACTAGGTGATAAATGAGTTAACTGCAAAATAAATACGACTTATGAGCGAGAAATAAGTACTCTGAAGAAGACAACAGGCCATTTGAGGTTGATGAGATGGGCTGCTTTAGAAATGTCTGCCAAGAAAGACCTTTTAGAGGCCATGACACTTGAACAGTCAAGCTTAGATCAGAGGAAGAACATTCAAGGCATGCATGACAGAAAGAAGGCCCGTGAGGCCGAACCTCAGTAAGAAAGGATGAAGAGCTATTTGAGAAGGATCCAGTTACGTGAAGTGGGAAGAGATCTAGAAACTTCGCTGGATATCTGAATTCGGATTTCAGGAGGACGTCAGCATTGCAATATAAACATGGCAATGATCAGCCAGACACGGTGTCTCATGCCTGTAATCCCAGCACTTTGGGAGTTTGAGATCAGCCTGGGCAGCATAATGAGACCTTTTCTCTAAAAAAAAAAAAAAATTCACTGGGCATTGTGGTGCTTGACTGTAGTCCCAGTAACTCAGGAGGCCGAGGTGGGAGGATCACCTGAGCCTAGTCAAAACTGCATTGAGCTGTGATTGTGCCACTGCACTTCAACCTGGGTGACAGAGCGAGACTCTGACTCGGTTCACCTAGAAAAGGAGAGTAAAAATGAGACGAGAAGTCAGAAAAAATCAAGCCTGAAGTCCTTCTCCATTAGAGGTCAGACAGCCGGAGAGGAGCCAGAAAAGGAGACTGAAAAGAACCAGATTCTAAGGCAGGGGAAAACCAGGAGCAAGTGGCTCATCACGCCAAGAGAAGGAAGTACTATACAGTGGTCCTCTCTTATCTACAGTTTCGCTTTCAGCGGTTTCAGTTACCCACACTCAACTGTGTTCGAAAATATTAAATGAAACATTCCAGAGATAATTCATGTTTTCTATTGCACACTGTTCTGAGTGGTGTGATGGAAACTCACACCATCCTGCTGCATCCCTTCTTCATCGTAAGAAGAAGGGATGCAATCTCTTATTGTGCCTAATTGATATATTAACTTCATCATAGGTATGTATGTGTAGGAAAAATCGGTATAGATGGAGTTTGGTACTTCAGGCATCCACTGGGGGTCCTGGGACATACTCCCCACTGATAAGGGTGGGGGGGCAATGTGTTTCCAGAAGGGGGAAGTGGTCAACCCTGTCAATCCAGCTATGAGGCCAAGTCAGAAGCGCACACAGTTCTTTCTACTTTGGTAAGATCACTTTGTTTCAGAGGCCAGAGGGTGAGATCTGACCAGAGAAAGACAGACAGAGAAGAGGAGGAGGAGCAAGCGGAAATAGTGACTGAGACAGTTCTGAGAAGTTTTGATGTGAAGGGGTGTGGAGAGCCTTGGAGGGTCTCCCATGGGGCAGACAAAGGAGTGAATAATAGCAGAAGCAATGTTGCAGAACAGGAGCGAGGAAGCAGAATCCACTGTAGACCTGGGAGGTCAGAGTAGATGTATTGATCCTGTTGCAGTGAGGAACAGTGCGGGCGAGGGTGCAGGCGAGGGGCAGATGGTGGGAAGGTGGTTTGTTCTTGCTTGATTTCTTCCATTTTTTCGGTGATGCCTGAGGCAGAGTCCCCATCTGAGCACCAGAGAGAAGTGTGGCAGGCTTAGGAGGAAAAGGATGACATGCAATAGTTGTCTCAGAGCGTGAGAAAGCAGATGGCCTCAGAGATGACCAGATGATATCGAGTGCCCATTTGAAATCCATGATCCTAGATTCCAAGTGACATCAGTCAGCACAGTTACACTGCTCTCTCCAGGGATGCTAGGCTGAGCGGATTCAATGTTGAGGAATCCAGAGTTGAGTGTAACTACAGATGGGATTTTGCTAGACAAGTACGGTAGGAAATGGACAAATGAGTGATGAGAGTGAATATAATGCTGACAAACGGCATCTAAGCTGGGTGAGGAAGACACGAGGAGGGTGTTGAATAGTGAACAAGCAGCAGGGCCAATGGATTTGGGATCCCAATACATCAACGAATCTTGGGGACCAGGCATGGTGGCTCACGCCTGTAATCCTAGCACTTTGGGAGGCTGAGGTAGGAGGACTGCTTGAGCCCAGGAGTTGGAAACCAGCCTGAACAACATAGTGAGACCTTGTGTCTACACTAAATTAAAAAATTAGCTGGACATGGTGGCGTATGCCTGTAGTCCCAGCTACTCAGGAGGCTGAGGCAGAAGGATCACTTGACTGAACTCAGGAGGTTAAGGCTGTAGTGAGCCATGATCATGCCACTGCACTCCAGCATGGGCAACAGTGAGACCTCGACTCAAAAAAAAAAAGAGTCTTGCACTAGGGGCTTCACTGGAAAGCAAGTGAATCAGAAAATGGTGTGTGGTGATCAGAGAGGAGAATGTTTCCAATAGACATTAAGGAGGCAGAACAATTGAGGATTGTAAAAGCCAGCTTCTCACCCATATCTTCTGCAGCGGTTTTCAACTAGGGATGATTTTGTGCCCCAGGAAATATTTGGCAATGTCTGGAGACATTTTAGATTGTCATAACTAAGCGGGAGATGGTGTTGGGAGTGGCTGCTTCTGGCATCTGGTGGGTAGAGGCCAGGGATGCTGCTATAATGCGCAGGACAGCCTCCTCACAACAAAGAATTATCTGACCCAAAACGTCGTTAATGTCAGTTTAGAAACTCTAGTCCAGGGCGTAGGTGACTGAAGTGGAGTAGAGAAGAGTAGAGATGAGATTAAGATCTGAGAGAAGGCCAGGCGCAGTGACTCATACCTCTAATTCCAGCACTTTGGGAGGCCGAGGTGAGAGGATTTATTGAGTCCAGTGATTCGAGACCAGCCTAGGCAACATAGCGAGATCTCATCTCTACAAAAAATAAAAAAAATTAGCCAGGCATGGTGGCGCGTGCCTGTAGTCCCAGCTACTCGAGAGGTCAAGGCAGCAGGATCCTTGGCCCAGGAGTTCGAGGCTGCAATGAGCCATGATCATGCCACTGCACTCCAGCCTGAGTGACAGTGAGACCCTAACTCAACAAAACCTCAGAGATGTAGGTGGGGGATAAATTATGTTCCTCAATTCTGAAGTTGCCAGGAATGACAGGAAGCAAGATGATGGGAATTGGTGGTGGTGAGAAAGACAGTCAGCAGGGTGCTGAAGCTTTTGATGAAGGAAGGGAAGTGACTGGGACATTAGGAGATGATTATAAAAGGAGGCAGATGATGTAGTCTGAGGTCATGCTCTTCAGGGGAGCTGGAGACTTTGAAATAGAAAATGAAGAAATGGTAGGTTAGTGCCCACAGGAGCACCTCATTGTCTTAAGGTTCCTGGAATGTGGGAGGAAAAAATTTTCCTCTTGGCTGGGCACTGCAGCTCACAGCTGTAATCCCCGCAATTTGGGAGGCCGAGGCAGGAGGATTGCTTCAGCTCAGGAATTTGAAGTCAGCCTGGCCACATCACAAGACCTCATCTCTATTTAAACAAATCAAAAAATTAGCCAGATGTGGTGGTGTGCACCTGTAGTCCCAGTTGTCAGGAGGCTGAGGCAGAAGGATTGCCTGAGCCCAGGAGGTCAAGGCTACAGTCTGTGAATGTGCCACTACACTCCAGCCTGGGTGACAGAGTAAGACCTCGATTCAAAAAAACAAAACAAAACAAACAAGCAAAAAGCCTTTCCTCTTCGTCAAACTACAGAGGACACCAGGATTCAGTGCTAGAAGCTGAAGGAAATTTTAAGAGCCGTGGCTATGTATCTTTTTCAGGAGACCTTTATTTCAGCATTAAACACAAGTGATGTGAATTTCCTGACTCTTAACAAGTTCAGGAGAAGCGTAGGTATAATTGATAGCAGAACACTAATATCTTTGGAAGACTATGTGGAAGACAGGTTTTTCTTTCCAGACGGTGACTTTTGACACTTCTGGCTGGGTTATTTGGCCTCAAGCACTATAGAGAACTATGGTTCTCAAAGTGCAGTCCTTATACCACCAACAGTGGCAACAGCTGAGACTTTGTTAGATGCAAATGAGTGAGCTCCACCCTTGACCCACAAAATCAGAAACTATATGACTGGGTCCCAGAAATCTGTACTTTAACAAGCCTACCTGAATCACCCACCAGGTGATACACATTTCAGTTTGAGAGCCACTGATATAAAAGTAAAAAATGTGTGAGTGATTAAAGGGAATAAGAAAACAAATTACTGACTGTATACCCTAATCCAAAACTTTGCATATGTAATCTAATTTAATCTTAACAAGAGCTCAGAGAGGTAGGTATGGTTTTCTCATTTTTTCCCCCTGTAAAATACAAGGTGGGACCCCAAAAATCTGGAATTAGTTTTTGGAGGGCAGGCCCCTTGTAGTACAGGCTTCCCCACTAGGTAAGTGTTCTAGGAACCCATCAGCGTCAATGTGCCAGCTAGTGTTGTTTGGGAGACTGCATTCAGCTTCAGTGAATTTTTTTTGGAGATACTTACAACACATTTGCCCATTTCATGATGGGTGATTTACACAATGTACTGCAGTGAAATTTTATTTTCTGAGTGGCAATTTTTGACCAAAAAACAGCATGACCTCCCTATTCACCCAATCTCACCCCAAGAGATTTACTTTGTCTTCCTGGATGAAAAAAGTCCTCAAAGGGAAACATTTTGCTGATGTGGAAGAGGTGAAACAAAAAACAGCTGAAGCACTAAAAGACATCCAAGTGGACAAGCAAAAATAACTTTTGAGTGGTGGAAAAAGCATCTCGATAAGTGTATTGCATCAAACAGAATATTTTGAAGGTGATTGAAGTTTAAACATGTAAGAATAAATACACAATTTTTTATAAGTAAATTCCAAGTTTTTGGGTCCCCCCATATATATAACATACAAGTTGTCATTTTAATCATTTTAAAATATACAATTCAGTGGCATCAATTACATTCACAATGTTGAACAACTCTCATCACTGTCCATCTCCAAAACTTTGTCATCACTCCAATTAAAAACCCTGTAACTATTAAATAATAGCTCCCTGGCAGCAGACCACAGACACTTTTGCTGTTGTCCTGCCCATTGTACCCTTTACAACTTATATTTCCTTTAATAAATCTACCTTTCTTAACTCAAAATAATAACAGCTCCCCTTTTCCCCCTTCTCCCAGTCCTTAACCTTTAGTCTACTTTCTGTCTCTATGAATTTGCCTATTCAAGATAATTCATAAAAGTGGAATCATACAATATTTGTCATTTTGTGTCTGGCTTGTTTCATTCAATACAGCTTTCAAATTCATTCATGTTGTAGCATGTATCAGAATTTCATTCCTTTTTAAGTCTAAGTAATATTTAATAGCAGGTATATTTTGTTTATCCATTTTTCCTTCTTTTCTTTTCTTTTTTTTGGAGTCAGGGTCTCTGTCACCCAGTCACCCAATCACCCAGACTGGAGTGCTGTGACATTATCACAGCTCACTGCAGCCTTGACCTCCTAGGCTGAGGCGATCCTCTCTCCCCAGCCTCCCAAGTAGATGGGACTACAGTCACATGCCACCATGCCCAGCTAATTTTTTTTTATTTTTTAACAGAGATAAGGTCTCTCTATTGTTGCCCAGGCTGGTCTTGAACTCTTGGGCTTAAGCAATCCTCCGGCCTAAGCTTCCCAAAGTGTTGGTATTATAGGTGTGAGCCACCACACCTGGCCCCATTCATTTGTTGGTGGACACTTGGGTTGTTTCCATCTCTTACCTATTGTGAATAATGCTACAGTGGATATTGATTAAGTCTTTGAGACCCTGTTTTCAATTCTTCAGTGTTATCCCTCCTCCACCCCTCTTCTTAAGTGTTATCCCTCCTTATTTATTTATTTATTTATTTATTTATTTATTTATTTGAGTTGGAGTCTCACTCTGTCGCCCAGACTGGAGTGGCCACCGCTCCCCACCACCGCAGCCTCGATCGGTTGGGCTCCGGCAATCCTTCCGCCTTACCTTCCGAGTAGCTGGAATTACAGGCAAGCGCTACCACGCCTGGCTGATTTTTTGATTTATTGTAGAGATGAAGTCTTGCTGCCCAGGAGGGTCGCGAGCCTCCCAAAGGCACGGGATTACAGGCTGAGCCACTGAGCCCGGCTGCCCCCCCCTCACTTTTTTAGTTGGGGTCTCACTGTGTCTCCCATACTGGAGTGCAGTGGCACAGCTTACTGCAACCTCAATCCCCCACACTCAGGTTATCCTTTGGCCTCAGCCTCCCAAGTAACTGTGACCACAGGTATGCGCTATCATGCCTAGCTAATTTTTTTACCTTCTGTAAAGATGAAATATCACTATGTTGCCCAGCCTGGTCTTGAACTACTGGGCTCTAGCGATCCTCCCATCTCTGCCTTCCAAACTGCTGAGATTGCAGGTATGAGCCACTCTTCCTGGCCTTTCTTTTGAATGATGAAATTAAGGCTCAGACCAAGCAAAGTAATCCAGGCAAGGAAGCAAAACACCTGGGCCAGCCTGATACCAAATCTCCTCCACCAGACACCACTGCCTGTGTGGAGCCCAAATATCGCTCATGTTACATGCTTCCAGGATCATTTATTATTTGTATGTACGTGTGCTCCTGATCATTCTTGTTTTTTTTTTCTTTCTTGAAGGATACTATTTCCACGAGTGCTTCCAGGAAAACCCTGCCAGAAATAAGCCGAATTAGGCAGTGCACTGTAGATAACTGGATAGCAGTGAAAAGAAGTGAATTTAATAAAGTGACTAAAAGGTGACTCTGACAAAAGATAAACCACTTATATCTAGTTCTGAAGCTTTAATCATTTTATCCTAGATATAAGGAAGAGAGTTTGGCTTTGTTGAGCTGGTATTTGCATATATAAAAAGATATAAATTTATTAAAATATAGATATATAAAATATGTAAGTATACGGGGGTGCCAAAAAAGTATGCACATTTTAAGTATAACATTCACTCAAAAGATGGCCTTCATTGAATGAATGCCACTGTCACCATGCAACAAGCAGGACAGTCAAAGAAAATGGCAGAAGCACAGATGAGTGAACATCATACTACACATCTCTACCATAATTCAATTTAGCTTCAAAAGGTAATACATAGATAACATCTCTTAAAAGGTGTATACATTTTTTGACACCCTCGGTATAACACCACCATAAGTTGTAATTCCTAGTTAATATTGTCTACTTCTGCCACCCCCTTTTAGTTTGAATAGGTCATGAATGTATTCATTCATTCATATTTTACTTAAAATATAAATAAAAAAATATATTGAGAACATGTGGAGCCAGACTTGGTGGCTCAGACTGTAATCCCAGCACTTTGGGGGACTAAGGCAAGTAGATTGCCTGAGTCTGAGGGCTCGAGACCAACCCAGGCAACTTGGCGAGACCTCGTCTTTACAGTAAATCAAAAAAGAAAAAAAAAATTATCTGGGCACAGTAGCACGTGCCTGTAGTTCTGGCTACTTGGAAGACTGAGGTGGAAGGATCGCCAGAGCCCAGCAGGTTAATGGCCATGAGTGTGCCACTGCACTCCAGCCCGGGCGATGGAGTAAGACTCCAACTCAAAAAAAAAAAAGAGAACATGTGATAACCCAAGTACATTGCTAGGTGAAGGGGATGCACACACACAAAAAAGCCCATGAAGCCTTCAGTAAGATGGGCCGTTTTCACATCTTTATAGTTTTCTCTCTGGAGTTCTGTGAGTTTTCATTTTCAGAGGGATGGATTTAAATTTAGATGGCTTGAACAAGTCACCTATAAATGGACTTCGGTGAGATTTAGCAATAATATGCACAAAGTATAACCAGAAATGGGGAGACTCTGAAGAGACTAGTTATTTTCATTAATAGTGATTCCACATCATCAGTTATTTATTCAGACATAATAGAATTTGCAAAGGCTTGCTTTTATATCATGTTGTGACTTACCCCTTGTCATTACTTTTGCAGTGAAATTGAAATGGTATTTTCATCTCCTGCTTGTCTGACTGCAAGTTTTTTAAAGAAAAGGTAATACTTATATGAGATTTACCTTCATTTAAAACACTAGGGAATATCTAAAATGAAATGTTTCAAGTCAGTTTAATTTGTGAATTTTGTTATCTGTGCACACAAAGTCCAACGTAGGGAACTCTGGAGATTGTTAGAGAAATCTTTCCTTTTATAAAGTAATTTATAAAAAGATCTAAGATTTATTAATATATAAATATATAAAAAACAAAATGTGTAAATATATAAAACCATACGTTTTAATTTGTAATTCCTAACTAACATTGCTTGCTTCCTCCACACTGCCTTTCTGTTATCTGATTAGAAGGAACAGTGTTTTTCCAGGATCTTTGTATCTACAATTGATCAGCTAAATTTAACATTACTTACTTAGAGGTCAAGGATGTACTTTACAGTTCTTACTGTGTGAGGTCAATAAGGAAAATAGATCTCATTTATTTTGTCTTTAACTTTCTGCTACAGAGGAAAATCTAATCTCATTTCTGTTTGGCTTAACACTTGGTCTGATCTAAGAGTTTACACGATTTCCTTAGCCTGGGCAACATAGCGAGATCTCGTCTCTACAAAAAATAAAAAAACTAGCTGGGCATGTGGCGTGTTCCTGTAGTCCTAGCTACTCAGGAGGCTGAGGTGGAAGGATCACCTGAGCCCAGGAGGTCCAGGCTGTGATCAACCGTGACTGTGTCACCGCACTCTGGGCAACAGAGTGAGACCCTGTCTACTTCAAAAAAACTAACAATAACAACAACAACAACAAAAACCAATTCCTTTAATGCTCAGTATTTGGGTCTTCAATTTCTGCCCTTTCTTCCAGGTTCGCCAATAAGGGAGGAAAAGGAGGAATAGTAGTATGTGCGTGTGTGTGTGGGGGGGTGGGTGTCTCAGGCTGTCCTCCGCCTTTTCTGAAGGCTTATGTCTGCTGCCCTGTCTGCAGATGGTGTAACTCATTCCAGTTCTCCTTTGCCTAGTCAGGTCCTGTTCCTCCCTTGTGAACTTGGTCTCAGGTGTGCTCACTGGTTCAGAAAATGGTGGTACATGCCTTGTACCCCTACCTTGAACCCAGTTACTATTTCTTGCCCCAGCATAACTCTGTGGCCCAGGCTGGAGTGTAGTGGCATGGTCACGACCACTGAAGCCTCAATCTCCTGGGCAGTCTTTCCGCTTCAGCCTTCCAAGTAGCTGGAATCACCGGCACATACCGCCATAACCAGCTAACTTTTTTGATTTATTGTAGAGACGAGGTCTCACCAAGTTGCTCAGGTTGATCTCGAACCCCTAGACTCAGGCAGTATTCTCGCCTCTCAAAGTGCTGGGATTACTGGCATGAGCCACCACCCGTGGCCAATAATATGATCTTTCTAAAGTAGAAAAGTATCCAGCTCGCTTCCCAAGAGTGAGGGACTCACCAGATGCGAAAAGCTGCAAAGGATAATATAGGAGGAGGACCGCAAAAAAACCCAGAATTATCTTTGTAGGGTGGAGTCCTTGTAGTACAGGATTCCTCCTCTAGTTAAGTGTTCTAGGAACCCATTGGCATCAGTGTACCAGCTAGTGTTGTTGTGAGAGACTGTGTTTGGCTTCAGAGACTTTTTTTTTTGGAGATTATTTCTACGTGTTTGCCCATTTCATGATGGGTGATTTATGAGCACACCTGCCCACACTGCGCTGAGTATTCAGCAGTTTTGGACCAAAACCGGCATGACCCCCGTGCCCCACCCTCCCTATTCATCTGATCTCTCCCTGAGAGACTTTTTTTTGTTTCCCCCATGAAGAAAGTCCTCAAAGGGGAACATTTGGCTGATGTGGGAGAGGTGAAACAAAAAACGGCAGAAGCACTAAAAGGCATCCAAATGGACAAGTTCAGAAATTGTTTTGAGCATTAGAAAAATAATCTCAGTAGGTTTATTGCATCAAACAGAGAGGACTTTGAAAGTGACTGAAGTTCAAATGTGTAAGAATAAATACACAACTTTCTATAAATAAATTCCCCCCTCATATTTTAAGGAGAAATTTGGAATACTTTGTTCTAGTACTGCATAAATATTTCAGTCTTGATGTTACTATTGATCAGGTAATTCAGCAAGCATAATATATTTCTTGATAATGCATTACAAAAGAATTGTTAGATTTGTCCAATACTGACTCTTCAAATATCATTGAAACATCATTGATAAGACAGGCCAGGAGAACACCCGGCCAGCGTTTTCATGGTGCTTCTGAGAGAAAAGACCAGGTTAGAGGGTACTGAGAATTGGGAGTTTGATTTCAGTGTAGGAAGGGGAGGCTACTGGCTTGATAAGGATTGGACAAATATATAACTATCTGAGATGGATAGAAACAGCAAGGTGAGGATTTTGAGGTAAGAGATTCAAAGGATCTGCAGGCACAATGTTAATGCTTCCCACTGAAGAGTTACTGGGTCTTTCAGGAAGTTCCTATAATGGACAGTCAAGCTGTTTGCCCGGGTGAAAGTTTCTTGGAATGGGAAAGTTGTGTTCATGAAAACAACGCAATTGCAAAGTTATGTAACTACAAATGATTCTGTATGTGGGTGGTAGGTAGTTTCAGTTCTCTATGTACAAGCTGAAAGTACTGGCAGATGCTGTCAGTTCTCAGACTTAGCATAGAAAATTGTGCTAATACTGCAGCCTAGACTTGATGCAGCTACCGTAGAGATAATAAATTGTTATCTCCTCTCTTTTATCAAGGAGAACATAACATTTACACATTTTTTTTGGTTGAGTAAGTTGATTATTTGGAAAAGAGGCAAGTTTTAAAAAAAAAGTTTTCATCTTATAAGTAATAAAATAAAACAACAAATGACATATGAAGTTTAGAAATATCTGTTTCCATCTGTTTATGTGGGGTTTTTTTTGGTTTGTTTTTCCATTTCTTGTATCCAAAGCGGAACTGGAGAAATTTCCATTGATGTGGACTTACAGATGGCAAAAGAAACCTTCGAGAAGTTAACAAAAAGTGAACAGATTTCTTCCACGGTAATAGTCAATACTTACATGAGATTTAAAACAATAGAATTTCTTTACAAGAATAAATATGATTGCAGTTTAATGTTGTTGGGAGCTAGGTTAGAGGGGACTTATGATTGGGGCTGGAATAGAAGGCTGCTGTTCATATGAAGTTATATACCAGTTACTTCAGTAGGTATGGCATTTATTTTTATTGAACCCTGCAATGTACAAGAGATACAATATTTTTCTTTTTTTTTTTTTTTTGAGTCAAGATTTCATTCTGAGCTGGGCTCAGTGGCTCAGCCTGTAATCCTGCGCCTTGGGAGGCTGAGGTGAGTGGATTGCCGGAGCCCGCGGGTTTGAGACCCGCCTGGGAAACTTGGCGAGACCTCATCTCTCTACAATAAATCAAAAATTAGCCGGGCGTGGTAGTGTGCGCCTGTAGTTCCAGCTAC